AAAACTTTCAGTGACAGTTTATTTTTCAGCGCAATAAGCTTGATGCCCAGAGGCTGCTGCTGTTGTTGTTTCTCGGGGCGAAGAAAGCGGTAACACAAAGATAGATGGAAGAGGGGGAGAATATAGACTGAAATGATGAGCCAGCTGCAGACGTACACCTGTAAACTACATCTGATGAGTCAGACTAGAAACTGCTTAGAAACTGGGTACAGTTGTTACTGGCTTGTAAAGCTGGAAGACATTTGTGTGAAGGGGGGCGAGCGGAATGGCAGTACGAAGCCTCTTCTGATTCTCACAGCTTTTATTTTACACTTGCAAGTTTATAAAGTATACGAAACACAATAAAAATGGACATTGATATGGAATCTTTACTAACATCGATGATTCTAATTCCCTTTGGCGCTCCTCAGACCTTTTCTTTTCCTAATGAGACACGCGTTCAGCTAAATAGCAGCGTTTGGAGAAAAGGTGAAATATGACAAAGTGAGTAGCTAGCTGTTGTGTCCAGCACATAACCGGTAGGAAGACCGGCTCCGTGCTGTTAGGAGGTGTCTGCTCCTCTGCTCAGCACCGACATACCGCCGCTGACAGACGGAGCTCCAGCTGAGCCGCTGCACTCACATGTGGTTACTCACAGATATCGTCCTCCGACACCAGCTCGTCCTCCATGTTCTGCTGCTTCACAGCCGCCGCTAAATCCTGGTCCTCGTCCCCCTCATCGTAGCTCCAACTCTGCTGTACAATGTGTGTGTGTATCTACGGCAGATCTAAGGAGCCTGGACGATGCGATGGACACATCTGTCAAGGTAGATATCACACAAGTGAAAATATTCACCTCCGGTCCATACCTTCACAATAAAACTAAAATAAAGCCTAGAGCGAGGAAAAGCACTCCTCGGTAACCTTCGTACCACACTGGTGACAGTCTGTTTTTTTTTATTTTTTACCCCGTTAACATGTCCATATGGTGTTTTGAATTTGCCAGAAGATACATCATGAGCGAAACAAGCGGTCAATTTCATGGCTGAGCTTTTCCACTGTGAAGTGCACTGATGACACGCTTCAAAATTCGGACTTCCGGTGTTTTGTAGCCAAACGTAAGGAACCAATCCTGTCACTTGCAGGGCGGGGCCAAAGACTGTACATAAAAGAACGAGCCTCTGAAGGAAGTAGTGTGTACCAGCAGCAGAGGAAGCTACGTTCGCTGGATTGCAGTTGTAGGACGACAGTAAACTTGTTTTTTAAACAGTGACACCTCCTGAAGTAGATAATTAGGAAAGTAGAACTTACTGAAGTGAGGACCACACTTCAAGCCCAGTTGCACAACAATCAGGGCACGTGTGCTAAATGTGAATAAAGGTTCATTTATCTATCTGCCCCAGAGTGATCAAATGTGTTGCCTCTCCCCAACATTTTAAATATCTGTTTAACATCTAGTTATGACAAAGGCTATTACATATGATTCCATTGGTATTTTACCTGAAATACACAACTTGCCCAATGTGCCACTCTTAGTAGATGAAATTGCAGGACAGAAAGGAGTAACCTTTAACTTTAGCAATCATCCATTTCAGTAGGTGGCACTGTTGCAAAAACAAGAGTCCTACCCTAAAAAAATCAGCCTTCACTACAGTAAACACGCATGAAATGCGTAAGTGCTTTAAACCAGCAATCTTTGTAACAGCCAGCAGGGGGCGACTACTCTGAAAAAGATGTCCAACTGTATAAAGGTCAATGAACAAAAAAAACCAACTACTTTTCACTTTCTTGCCTCAGTAAACATTTTTTTTAATGAGATTATGATTTCAGTTACTAGTATTAGGATTTTTTAAACACAGGATCATGTTTATTTTGTAAATTATGGTCCTATTTAGAGGAAAATAGATGATACAGCAGGGCATGTTTCAGAGCAAGACTACCTTGTGATTGACAGGTCGTTACCTTAGCACCTTGAATAGTGTCCTTGAGCACTGCAGTCGAATCTACAGCTCACTGGTTATATCTTGTTTCAGAAGAGCAAGATGGCCACAGCCAAATGTTCACAAACCAATGGTTGGCATAGATATGTCCATCTTTTATATACACTCTATGGCTCAAACATGTATGACTAAGTTATGCCAATATTACAACTTCCTGTTATGTAGTTTAGAGTGTCGGAATGCCGACTGAAATAATCAGCCAGGAGCAGGCTTATACCCACAACCTGCCTTCAGTGAGTCAGACTACTTTTAAGTGACCAACATTTGCAAGAATGTGTCTCACAACTTTCAATCCAAAGTCCAGTTAAAATGGAAAACACAGCTATTTTTGCTCAAAAAATATTTGTAAACATGAAGTTACTGTCAAGATTGTTGTCACTGTTCTGTTTGTCTTTAAAATTACATGAAAGGGGCTACAGATTTCAAGAATGTTTGAAATATTTACATAATCACAACCCTGATACTAACAGCAAACTACACAATTAAAGACAAAACACAATCAAATAGTTTCCCTTTGTTTATTTGGACAATGGCAAATTTTATCAAAGAGTACAAAACTGTATCTATTGTTGGAAAATATTCTTACATACTCTACATGGCACGTTGTATTTCAAAGGGTCTTAAAAACTACCATCACTGTTAACAAGCACTGGATAAAAATTTTTCATTAATGAGTCCATGATTGTACCTAAGGACATCACTGACAAGTACATATTCCTCATTGAAACATAATTAAATCAAGTTGAAATGTAAGATGAGTTAGTGAGAGCTGCTACAAGTGCTTTGTTCTGTGCCGTGTATAATACTAGTATGAAAAATATAACATTAATAAAATAAACTGCAAACATTCTATCTAAAATAGAAATATTCTTTGATTTGCTTTAATCATGCGATTAGTCTGCAAAGACGAATTTCAGAAAACTCCTGAGCTATGTTGGTGCATCTTTCTTGAATATTTACTCAGCGTAGAACCATGCTCTTTCATACATCTTTCTTTATCAATGATAAACAACATATATGCTGCAGTAAAATTTCAGAATAGCCTATGTACACGAGAAATTCCCTCACAAAATATCAGCAAAAACTTGCTATGTGAAAATAGGAGAAAAAGCCCTCAAGTTCACAAAGTAGGACTGGAATTTGGTTTGGTATTAAGACTTGTTAGTAGTCTTGTGTGTTCTCAATGCATTAAAAGTACTGATTTTAGTTATCATAATATTAGTTCTTATATTATATTATCACAGTTATCATATAATTAGTTTTCAAATTATCCTTCAAGTAATTATTAAATCCTAAAATGTTTGATATTGCATATACAACAAAAATAATACAGAGTAGAATATTAAGCATTTCTTATGCTTGCAGAGAAACTTGAAAATGAAATGATTGCACATAGGTAATTATGAGCGAACAGTTGCATGTGCTGTATAACAATCGACAATCATCACTTCTGTCATCAACTGACTGTTCATTAAACCCAGACTCTGCAACTAAGCTGGCTATACAACAACTTCAATCTCACACAGCACATGTGCAGTGTAGACTAATAACAGTGACAAATTACAACTTGAAAACTCTTTTCAAAACGGTGATTGGGACACCGGTTCAAGAAGATTAAAAAAAATGTATACAAAAGTCTAGCTAACATAATAACATTATCACATTATCAGTTGATTAAAAAAGGTGTCTTTGTTCAAATGCTATGATTGGCTTTTAACATAAGGAAAATGGCTTTTAGGAAGCATTTGATGCTTGTGGGAGTTGCTGGAGCGTTAACCTTTGCAAATCCAATAAAGAGCATCCAGCATGGGCCTCCACACAGTGGTAAGATAGAACATGCTGGATGTGCCAATCATAAATGGGCCTTTTTGTAACCTTTAACTCTTGTATACATCCCTTGATCATCCCTTAACCTTCATCCTGATGCAAACGTATAGCCAATTCAAAAGCTTGGCAGGTCTGTTTAAGATTTTTGAGCTATGACAAACCAATCACTGCTTAGGTCATGGGTTTAACGATCAGTCAGTTCCAAGTCTGCCATCACTAACATTCACCAGCTCTTCCTGTTGCTTGAGCTGCTGGCGAGTTTCAGTTTCTTGACCTCCCTGAGGACATGGTCGGCCTTCTCCAGCTTCTCCATGGCTTTAGCCAGCAGACTTTCGGGTATGCCCTCATCATCTCTTCCCTGAGCCTGGGAAACTCTGCTCAGGAGCTTGCTCGTCTTCTCCATCTCAAGAGCTACTTCAGTCTCAAGTTTTAGCACATCATCATTTGGAGCCCCTGCAGTTCCAGCCCCATCACTGCTAGGCTGTTTCACCTGAATACAGAGCACAGAGTCAGAGAGTAGATCTCCAAAAGAGGCTGATCGAGCCTTAACTGAGGGTTGAAAGGAGGTGGCAGGCTCTAAGCGTTGACAGGGAAAAACCTTTGGTCTAACCTGAGGCTTTGTTGCGACCACTGGTGGCCTGGAAATAACAGGCATGTGAGTGTCTTCCTCACTGGCATCCAACACATCCAGACCAGCGTGGCTTCCCCTGAGTGCAGCTGTGGAAGCTGCCAGTGTGTCTTCACTCCCAGAGATTTCGCTTTCATCATCCGAATGCTGACCGCTATCTACAGATTTCTCCTCTGCCTTCTTTTCCTTCTCCCTGGACAAGTGACAAAGCAGCGGACTCAGGTTGAGGCTGTCATTGGGTGGGTCATTCAGAGAGACAACTACTGAGCCTTCACACTTTGGCAGTGCTTCCTCTTCTTGAAGAGAACCTGCTGAGTTATCGGAGGCAGTAGAGTCCCGTCCTTCATTAGGCAGAGATATGATTGAGCAGTTCTCTATGTGCGATGTTTCAGGCTGAACAAGTTTGTCAGGCTTTTTCTTGGAGGTTAGAAGAGGACTAGAACCCTTTCTCAGTTGCTCTATGGGTACTTCTGGGTCATTACCAGATGCCCTCTTTATGTCACTGTTGATAGTCTCACCTGATTCTTCTTTAGAAACGGTTCCCTCTGTCGTAGGACTTTCGGGTTTATTATCTCTGACATGAGTTAGACCTTCTTTAGAAATTGACTCTTCTGCCTCATTTGTTTCCAGATTTATCTCTTTCTTGCTGTTTTCTTCCTTCTTTGTATTCTCATCAGATGTGCCTTGCGCCTGTTGGATTGGCTCCACAGCAGGCGGAGAAGGCTTCTTCTCTTTGGATGGAGGTGTAGGAGGGTCGGAGTTTGCTGTGGACTGCGAGGTCTCTACAAGACTGCTCATGGAGCTGTTGGAGCTGGGTTTGTTGGGAGGAGTTGGTGGTGGGCATGTCTTTTTCCTGGCATCAGGACTCATTTCAGGCACTTTGTCAGGTTTTGCCTGCTCTGTAACTTCTTCAACAGGTGAGGCACAGGGTTTGGCTTCTTTTGATGGAGGCATCGGCGGCTTTAGTACCTTAAAGACATTACATAATTTTTTATAGGACATATTACCTAAGAGGAAGATATACACAAAAATTTCTGTACTGTATGTTTATGATTATTTTATATCATTTTACAGACCTTTTTCTCTGGACCATCATTGCTATCAGGCTCATTCTCAGGAGGTGAACTGGATTTAGCCTCTTTGGAAGGTGGCATAGGAGGTTTGATGACCTTTTTCTGGGGACTGACCTTCCCCTGAACCTCCTCCTCAGCACTCGGCACTAACTGTTCCTCTGCAGCTTTGCTGGTGTTGGACTGAGACTCTGAGACTGTGACGGCCTCTTTAAGAGACCCATCAACATTTGCCTGATGGGTCCCATTAGGCATTACTGCATCTTCTAGATCCAGATCCAAACGCAGGATACCATCAGACGACACTTCGGCTACCTAGAGGTCAAAAGATGGCATTCAAATAAGACATTTCATTTAAAAAAGCTATAACATAAATTTTCAAATAAAAGCTACAAACTAACAAATGGGACAGTTGCTAATAAAGGCTGAGGTAACACACACAGGCTTGGTCATGTGTTGTTCATCACTCTGCTGCTTTATGCTGCTCTTTTTAAGAGAAACACAATTTCTATTCACAAATTAGGTCCAAGTACCTACTTTGATGGATTTTTTTCAGTTTACTGTTATGGAACTGTCAATGAAAATCACTACATAATTCTTTGTTTTTTCATAGTTTTGATGTCATCAGTATTATTCTACAATGTAGAAAATAATTAAAATAAACTAAAAACCATTGAATGAGAAGGTGTGTCCAAACTCTTGACTGGTACTATAGATGAATGGACTCTCACATTCACGAACACACAAACCTCTTTCATGTGTATCCTGGTCGGTGGCCGTCGGTTACGGTTCCCTTTGGGCCTTGTGCGTGTAACATGGTCTAAATTATTGCCTTCATCAACCGTTACCTGTGAAAACATGAACCCATTTAAACTTTTAAAAGCAGCGTTACTGAAAACTAAGAAAGGATGCACTGACTTAAACTAGGAGACATTTTTGACAGTGAGTCACACTGTGTGTTTACCTCATCAAAGACTTTGTTCTTTGCTCGATTGATTCCATCACTAAGGGCTTTAATCCAAGCCTCTTTCTCCTCTGCAGTCTGAGCTTGGAACTTCACATCATGGACCTGTCAGTCAGGTAATGCAGATGAATGTTATTGATGAATAAACACAATATCTATGATCATCTTAGAGGAACATTTACAGGCTCTCTATCTTTCTGAAGAATTACATCTTGTAAGTAGCTTTCTTATGTAAATGAGAAATATTTTAAATTTATTCTCAACTAAACTGGAGACATCCTGCATTCACACTGTACCTCTGCTGACTACAGACAGGTGATACGTCTTGTTCTCTGATTCAATACAAAATGATATTAAGTTTTTATTTCAAAAAGGTGAAAGGCATACTATATCACATTTTCCCCCCAAAAAACATAAGGAACACAAAAACACATAAAACCCTCTCAATCAATACTTGTGTCCCGCTAGAAATGTGTGGCACTGTATGTATCTGCAGAGATCTCTGCCTGTACTTTTCTATGTTCTTTTTACTTTGCCATTTTCTGGAGATTTCTGAGCTGCAACCTTTGGTAATTTGGCGTGTAGCCCCCAAACAATACCCACAGACAGGAGAGCAGATGACGTAGGTGGCAACTCAGTCAACAACTGTTACTGTACAGAGGTAAATTCTTATATATCTCACCGGTGTCAGGTTTACTGAGGCTTAAAATTATGCATAATTAGGGACATGGCCACTTTGAGTGACACGTAGGTTCTGTCACAACACAGAGATTGTTTGCATGGCTCCCCTCAGCTCCAAGTCTAATCCCCTTCTTTGCTCATTTTTGATTTTATTAGGTGTTAGGAGTCCAGTACTGCCAAGATGGTGATGGCCAGAGCCACCACAGTGAGCTTCAAAACCACTGTTCAAGAAACCTATGGCTCACTTCCTGTTATATGCAGTCTATGATTAAAGCCTGGACTCAGAGGTGTACATTTGTGATTGGATCAACCAAGCCACACGTTAACACTCTCACAGTTAAGGGAAGTGGATATGTTCCTCTGTGTTTTACTGTCATTGCAGCAGCGAATGGGGAACACACTCCTGATGTATGTACTCGGAAACAGTTTTCATTTCAAGCCAGTAAAAAAAGTGTTTGCAATAGCCCAAGTTTGCAGAGAATATGTTGATAGTTCAACAGGTATGATTAATAAAACTCATGATGGCTGAATTCCATCTCGCCGTATCAGTTTCAGGCTCCAGATTTGTCATGCTGACTCACTGTCACACTGTCATGACTTGCTGGGATACTTGAATAGAATGTTAAGACCTATAACACCTGAGCTTTTCCTGAGGGGACAAATCAGACAGTCTGAGTTGTTTATCTAAAGAACATTTCAACATGCTTAAAAATGTATGTTTATTTTAAGTTATGTCTTCACTAGATATATAGTAGTTGTACTTACTTGTTTAATGTTGTCCCATCTCTCTTGTGTGCACTACAAGTTTACAAATGTGATGTGTGTTGTAACAGCATATAGGTCAAAGTCAACTTCTGTCATTTGTCACTTGGTCAGTGATAAAACCAAGTGAAACAGTCAGCTAGTTTTTGAGAGTGTGTTGTGCCTATGTTGGTATATGGCAGAAAAAAAAACAAGAAGGAAACTGAACTGGAGTCATGCCTGATTATTTTGGACAATGAAGTGACAAGTCCTTTGCTGCTACTGACAGCTCTGCACTGTTGATTTTTTCATTTGAAGAATTGTGAGAACTTGTTTTTCCTCCATATTACAAAAAATGTTCTGTATGTTTGCATAGGAACCGTTAACACTGTATTGCCTGAGTATCTGCGGCACCGCAGCAATGGAAGGTTCGTTTTTGGGCACACTGCTGCTGCTGTGCTACTTTGAGAAAGTGTTTTCGGCAGCATTCAGCCACACAGAGCCAGAGCTGAACAGGGTTGCCCTGGAGAAAGCAATAGGCAGCCAAGTAGTTCTTCCTATCCTGGTCAGATCCTCCTCACTTCATTAACACTGAACAAAAACAACAGAGCACAAACTACCAACAGATTCAGGATCTCACAGTTCAACAAATAAAGGACTGACAACGGTAAATGATGGCATTTCAAGTCACAAATAGTCATTGTAACAGCATTTCCCTGTTTGTACTTCCCTTAATTCAGAAAATGAAAAAGGCCGTGGAAACAAATCACCTTCATATGTGTGCCAACAGGTGATATCCAGTACACTACAGAGGTGAATACACTTGTGTGTAATATCACCTAAATGTCAGAATGTATAAGTAATTGCATTACTTCTAAGTTGAATGGTAGGGTGTATGCTCTCATGGGAAATTAGTAACTGACTGTTCAGATTTACTATATGAAAAACAGAGGCACCACACCACAGTAGGACCTAAATACAACAAAAGTCAGGACACCTTTCATTATTGAGATTCTAATCTTTTTTTTAAAATACTTAATATGTCCACCTTTACTTTTAATAACAGACTTAATCCTGGATGGATGATACCAGTGTCCAAACATTTCTGGAGAGATGTTCTGTCATTCATAAGAGATATTTTTTTCCACTGATCTTTGCTGGAGGTGTTGTATTGCCCTATCTTTCTCTTTAAAATAACCTAAAGGTGTCCCTTTGGATTCATGTCAGGCAACATACCCGGTCAGATCATAGTTTTCACTTAAACTCTTAGATATTCATCTTTTTCCAAGACTTCTGCATACTAGGGGTAATTTTGTCAGCCATTATTTTGGAGTAATCACAGACATGTATGGTGCCATCTATAAGTGTCGTCTCTCCGACTACTTTTGCAGTCATGCAGTCCCACATCATCATACCCCTGCTTCACTGTCAGAACTATGCACACACTGACGTAGTTCTGGTTAGCTTCATGCTAAATGTGCCATCTGAGCTAAACAAATTTATCTTAGTCTGTTTTGATTTTGACCGGTAGCCTCTGTGCCAAATCTGAAGCACCTGCTTGCCTCATTTTTCAGAGCTTAACTGTGCAACTAGTGCACTGTCTGTGACATCATTTTAGGAAGACAGCCACTGCAGTTCTGACCAGGGGTATTATGGCTAGTTATTGATACACTTGGGGCAAAGGCAAGGTACACCCTGGACAGGTCACCAGTCCATTACAGGGCAACACAGAGACAGACAGACAAAGGTGATTAAACTCCTAAAATCTTGTTGTACCAAACTGACATATTAAGAAGCTTTTCCATTTTCCTAACTTAACATTTCTACATGTAAGTTTACACTGTTGTTTCCTCTAGATTGTGTAGATCTATGAAGTCCCTATGTACAACCCCTTCCCTCCCCACACAGCTTGAGCACACCATCTCACCTACAACTCTGCTCAAATACTGTAAAACTGGTATTGGTGTAATTCAGCAATGCATATTCAAACTGGAAACTGATTCTAAAGAAGAATGGTCTCTACAAAATATGGAGTTAGTGGAGCTTCTAACTGTATTCACCTGCTAGTTTGACACTGTCTGTCAGAGGTTTACAATGAAAAAAGAATCAGCTGAAAACAAGAGTAATAGTCTGAGACAGACTGATTATTCTCCTTTTACATGATACACAGTCATTTTGTTGGTATAGTTAGTTGCAAATTCCATGTGATGATGACAATTTACCAAACTTGGACAAAAACATTCATGCTCTGTATTTGGCTTGTTCAAGGCCCTCATCCCCTCTGGCTACCTCAGCTGATGGTTAAACTTTCTAATGCTTTCCCAGGACACTCCAGTAAATATAATCCACTTGTCTTTATTTTTTGCCCCAAAATCTAGTATTTTGACAGTAATCCATCTGACTGATTTAGGGTTTCGAAAACACAGCTGCATGCTTTAGGTAAACTGCTGCTCAGTGATTAGTAATGTCAGACAGGATCAAAAAATGCCTCTCAACTTGTTAGCTCCACCTCTCACACCCCATTCACCTGTTTATTTTAATTTATTTTTCTAAGTATGTTACCTTGTAACTGTTCTGCTAAATTTACATTTGCATGTTAGCAGTCAGGGCTGCACAGTGGCTTGGTGGCTTAGCATCGCTGCTTCACAGCTAGAAGATCCCTGTTTTACATCCCGACCTGGGCCTGGGATCTTTCTGCGTGGAGTTTGCAAGTTTTGCCTGTGCAGTGCGGGTTCTCACTGGGTTCTCCAGCTTCCTCCCACAGTCCAAAAACATGCTGAGGTTTCTAAATTGTCTGTAGGAGTCAATGTGAGTGTGCGTGTTTGTCTTTCTGTGTGGCACTGCGATAGACTGCAGGTTCTACTCTCACCCAGAGCATCTCTCAGCCCACCTTATTTCCAGACTTCTGTGATCGCAACAGTATCAGTCTGTGTTTTTTCTTGAAGGGGCTCTTTAATTCATGACATGTATCGTAGTTTTCCAGATCAAGCCTCTCCAAGCAGTTCTGCAGGTCCTGCAACGCAAAGTACAGGTAAAATTCAATTCAAATGGCCTCTTAATTAAAGCATAAAGCTGACATCATTTTAGCAGGTTATCATATCAACAAAATCCTGCAGGACAGCAAAACCAACAACCTACTAACAAGCAGTGTGCTGTCTTTGTAGCCACAGTGTAGTACAGATGTTTATTCTGAAGCAATTCTGTGACTCTGGCGTCCATATCAGAAGAGTCTGCACTGGTTACTTGAAAGCACAGTAGAATGACATAACCACATAACCTGTGTCAGAAATGATAGTGTACCTCATTGTCATACACCACAAGTTCTGTCTTCTCCACATGGATGTATCGGTCTTTATAGCTTGCCAACAGTCTGCCTGGGGCCTTCTTTAGCCAGCCAGCCTTACCCAGGAACTTTGGCTCTTTGTTTTGGGCTGGGTCCTTTTTCACACCCTGCAATGACACAGAGGAAGGAAGTTACACTCGAAACACAACCCAGTCTACCAGCAGAGCGAGGATAGTTAATTTCACCTTCAGTGTGTCACTGTCAAAAATTAGAATCATGCAGAATGCCTGTACCGAAAAATGACAGAGATATTAATTTGGTAATTAACTACCAGTATATTGTAAAATCGGTAGCTTTTAGCATATATAGCTTAAAATCAACAGGTAAAAGGATGGTGTCTCTTAGGCACCTACAAACTTCAGATAAGAGGTCAAGGTGCAGAAGTATGAATTTGCAAACTGAATAAAAATGCTGCTTCTTAGAAGAAATGACCCACTTTAGCTTCACATTGGTGTGTGTTCCTGGCTTAATTAATTTTTTAAAAAGCTGTTGGATCCCTATATACTATATTCTGGGAGGCTCTCTCTTTGTTTATGGAGCTAACATACAAAACAATTGCTGCTCCACTTTGCACTGACAGAAATGACTAATGTCATTGTTTGCCCTCGGGCATAAATTACATTGCAAGTGAGCGAGTGAGTGTCTGTGTGATAAAATTATCTGTTGAATGTTTTCATGTTTAAAATCAAATCATGCAGTCTACATAGGTCTAGGGAAGTGTGAGGAATCATTTCCTAAATTTCAAGCAGAAGTTGCTCTCTATCTCTCAACAATTTCTCTGAGGTACCCTATCAAAGGGATCAATAAAGTATTATCTAATCTAATCTAATCTATTCTAATCTAATCTAATCTAATAAAATTTTCAAAATTTTTCTCACAACAACGCCAGTTCTAACCTGTAAGATGTGTTTTCTTGTTGTATTTGAGGCTAAGAACAGTCTAAGCAGACTCGCATTTGCAAGCTCAGTTCCAAGTTAAGCAGCAATGGAGGAAAAACCCCGGTTCTGCTCACACTGTGGTGGTATTGCAAAAATAGCTTGGTGTTAGAGACTGAACAGCAGCAGCTCTCATTTTCTGATCAGTCATTTCACGTTCAGCAAACTTGGCCTCTGACAGATCTCCTTTCACTTCAGACTATCACATCTTTGGTTTTCTCTGCAAATTAGATGCCTAGTGCATCTTTTGTTCCATCACTCTTCCTTTACAGATGGGCAGTAAGAAACATTATGTCACTATCAGGGTTAAAAACTAAAGCATGACAGGTGACTTAAGCAAAAGCCTTGTTGTTAGGAATTAATCAGTGAACTGAAAAAAGGAACTGAAACATTGTATAATCATAGTGAAAATGGTACTGCAAGGAAAACATTGTGTGTTAGAAACAAGAAAAACACCATTAAAAAGATCACTGCAGTTACAACAGATGTCAGTTTCACAGAAATTTTTCTTTTTATTTTTTTAAAGAGTCTCAAACTACTTTTCTGCATTACCTGTTTAACACTGTTTCCATAAGTTCATTGTATAACAGTGGTGGAAAGCAACCAAATACAATTACTCAAATACTGCGTTTAGGACAATTTTGATGAACTCATACTTTATTTGAATAAGGCTGTATGATATGCAAGAAATAAATAAATAAATAATCGGTTTGCAAATATTTTGGCAGACATTGTGATACGAAAATTTCGGATTTCAACACTTCTGTCTATAGTACTTCAATTAACTGTTCAGGCCTATACCACAGTACTTTTATTTTCTACTGCTTTAGACTTGTCCTCTACCACATTTCAAAGAACATTTGTCTGACAGTTTGATTAGTAACTGAAGATTAAGATGATAAAAACAAAAAATATGACCTGGTCATCATGACAAAGATGTCCTGCTATAGATAAACTACTCAATCATAAATGACCTTCTCCATCTCAACCAGCTAAAACGTTAGCAGAACATTAACATGCAAATCCAGTAATGCAATACTACTGAAAATTCTGTTAGTTTCTTCCACCATAGAAACACTTAAAAACATACTTTGACCAAAATATGCCTAAAAGATGGCCTTTGAGGTTGAAGCTCTGGGAACTCTGCACCTAAATCCAACTATAAAGTCCTCGGAACAGATTGCTAGGTGGGAATTGCTTAGTGGAGCCACGGGAAGCCTGTCTTGCAAAAAGAATGAGCAGAAGCCATGGGGAGACTAACTAAGGGCAAAGGCGCTCAATTATAACGCGGAGGTATGACAGGCAGTTATGAGCCAGGGCAGGAGAACACTTGGAGTTTGATCATGCAACTGAAATTGGCGTTTTTGTTATTGTGCTTTTACGGTTTGAATCTAGTGCTTTAAGTGAAACTATGGAGCATTCTATCAAATATGTTTTTTATTACTGTTGGTGAAATGTTTATTGTCTGTATTTGTTTTGTCATCCAGGTCCATAATTAACTGTACTGGCTAACATGTACATGGATGGTTTACCACAACAGTTTGGCAGTGGTGCTTAACTTCTAGTAACAAATTAATGATACCAAGTTGATAATTAGTGACCAACATGTCAGTTTAATATTGCCATTAATAGCATGCTGGACAATAATGGTATTATTCATGCTTTTCCAGGTTTCTGGCAGACACTTGGAGTTAACCTTTGGCAAAGTTGTAAATAAGATTTGTGACAAACTTGTAGTGGACCTTTGGTTAACCTTTTGAAAAATATATGGCAGGATTGCTGTAACCAGCTTGAATTATAATCATTAATTATATTTTTTTAGTCAGTTATACATCAGAAACAACCATTAGCTTTTCAAATCACTCTCCAACACAGCCCACTGCTGTTCATTCTTGCCAGTAGGTTCAAATAGCCCAAAGCATGGCTGGCTAATATATACACTTTTATGGGTGCACACATAATGTCCATCACACACACACTGTGTTCCAAATGTGACAAACAGAAGGTGTGGATTTAGCCATTTACTGGGATACTTTGGGTAACATATTAGAAGGCACAGTTTATACATTTTAGAAATAGACTTGCGGAGTTAGCACTTTGTAAACCCTGATAGTTGTTTTTCATGGAGACTAAGGCTTCCTCTGTTTAGAGATTAGGTGGGAGGTCATTGAAACATTTTTCTACTTTCACTGTAACTGCATGTATCTCTCAGCTTCGTAAACAGCAGTGCAGCTGCAAAGACAGAACGCAGAGCAGGGAAGAAAGACATGCCAGAAAGACAGCGAGAAAGACACTGACGAAAAGTTACTTCTTTAAAATAGAATGATCTAAGATAAGTTCTCCAGAGAAAGAAAAAGCTGCCTCCCTGTGCAGTCCAGAAAAGCCTCGGTATGCTTCTCACACAAGTGAACATGGAAAATGGTGCTAGGTGAAACACTTCAGTACAGTTCAGCACTGACCAAACCCTTGCAACATAGCAGCAGTTTCCATTACTCAAGCCTCAGCTGACTACTACAGCTCTGCACTGTGATATCAGATGATAGGTTATGGGGCAGAAAGTCTGTTCTACACTGAAGCACAAGTCGTATCAAACCTTTTGCCCAAAACTGTTCACAGATGTCTCTATTAGCGCTCGTCTCTGTGGTGTTGTGGTGAACGCTTAAACAGATCAACTGCCATCAACAACAGCAGCGACTAAAAAACATACAGACGACAGATAGTAATGCAGTTTTAAAAATACAACATGCTGAGCCGAGGCATCTCATGCAAACTACGTCTTAAAAGAGCAGAAGAAAATAAAGTGCAGGCTTTTGTGGAAGAGGCACACCTCAGCAGACATGTGTTTCTGATAAAGTTTTAGGTCAGGGCGCATCTGGCATTCATTGATTCTCCCACTGACCTGCCCAGCTTGAACTCACAACAAGCTCACACATAACCCCCACTGACCCCATACAAGTCGAGCTGGGAGAAGACAGTGGAGCTGAGCGTATGTGTTGTTTAGTTGGTATTATTAACCTGTTATTAGTTTTATATGAAGCAAGGTACGAGCCAATTAGCGACATCTACCATTTCTGCCTGGCAAAAGCAACACAAGAACAGTCTATAAATTTCTTATTCTGGATTAATAACTTTGAATGATCAAACTCAAATATGCACAACTCCACTATGAGGAAAACTTTCACTTCTGTGCCATTTCTGACAGTACTGCCACAGCCAAATGTGCTGCAATAAAGGATGCAGGTTCGACACAGAACTGCAGGCTTAATGAAACTGTCCAGACCCTGCTATCAGAAACAGATACAGGATTATTCATTCCTCACTGTTACATGGTGATTCCTATGTAAATCTACTGTTGTATCAGGATTTTGCATTTTTATTCAGGAAATCAAGTTGTGTTTTTTTTGTTTGTTTGTTTGTATTTTTAAACCTTGCTGCAAACCTGAAACCTGCCAAACAGGCCTCTGTTCTAGATATGAAACCTCAGACCACAGGTGGTAACAGAAGACTAAAGCCACTGACGCAAATTAGATGTCATCCACATTTTATTCTTAATTTTTCAGAACAACAACATAAATGTTGAATAAATGGCTTTTCTTGGACTCATCTGAACTCTGTACAAGGTCTACATGTTATGGCCAAAAGAAAGTAACTTCATTTGATGGTAGCTGGCAAGTAGGTAGCGTTGGTGTTTTTTTTAACAACTAGATTAGTCAAACGGGGAGGAAATCTATTTTTATAATGCTGTCGCGGCCATCTGAGAACATTTAAGCAAATTGACACCCACATTCTTCCTATGATAATGACATCTCATTGCATGGTCTATCACTATACACAAGTCTACATTATCTTCATAACGTGACAAATGTAAATCATGACAAATAAACACATTCACTGCACAAGAACTGCATCTTATCAGTATAACAAAATTATACGGCAGCTTTCCACTGCAGTAACTCTGGGTAGACAGGAGGTAGGGTGAACTTTTACAGCAAACATCCCTGTTAGGCTTTCTGTTTCCATCGCGATGTAGAATCTGACAGCTTCGACATCAATGTTAACACAGAGTGCACCAAAACAACAACAAATATTAGTTATTGTGTATAACTCCAGTTCCATGATCATGTAAGGTCTATACCTTACTATGTTAGGTCTGTGATGACATGTGTTGTAAA